CCTCTACTTTCATTCTTTCACGGTTTCTTAAAAAAATGGCGACATTTTCCAAATTGCATGGCCGTCGCAGGTCGCCCGACGCTCACCTTCTCCAGCGGTGACCACCTCTGCTTGCTCTGCCCCGAGGCCCTCGCCCACCTCCACGACACCAGGCTCCACCATTGGAGTCACGTCTGACGCCTACCCCTGCCCTCATCGTCATAGCCGACGCTGGCGTCCTCCTCGTCACCTCCTTGAAAGGTCCTTGTTTGGTTTTGGTAATTGAGTGACAACCTAGGTGGACTAATTGTGTTTATGTGAGATACACAGGTGATTAGTCCACAAGTATATGTGTGTGAGCAACATATGCCATGAAGGTGGAAATGGCTTGGAGATGTTGCAAAGCTCGCACATGTGATGATGAAGGAGGTCATTGCACATAAGACATGACATTGAGTCATGTGATCAAGGTGGAGAAGATCAAGACATGACTTTGCTTGATGGACCGGTTGCAAGCGTGAAGGGCAAGTCGGAGGCTTTAGAGCGATGGACCACGTGGCGGTGAAGCTTGAGCAAGACTTGGTGCTGATGGACGAAGGCAATGGAGAAAAGCAAGTGAAGTCAAGATCGATGAACCAATATGATCACATGATGATATAAAGTGGATCATATCATTGTTGATCATGTTGGTGCATGTGTTGCATCGACATCGGAGGAGATGGAATGGAATGCGCAAGGCAAAGGTATAACCTAGGGCATTTTATTTCACCGGTCATAGGTGTGTAGAGAAGTTAATGACCGGGTTTAGGATAGATGGTCATACTATCAAGAGGAACAAACTTGTTTGCATATCGGTCATCTAGTGCCACTCGAGTGATCTAACTTTGCATCATCACTAGGATTGAGTGGCGTGACAAGTTGAGTGGCTAATCCTTTGGAAAATGTTTGTGAAAAGCTAACACACATACACATGGTGGTGTTGGCACATTTGAAAAGGATAAGGAGTTGGAGTTGAAATGGATCAACTCGGTAAAGAAATAGAGGCAAAAGAAGGTCATTGTAAGTGACCGGACGCTGGCCTCAGGAGGACCGGCGCGTCCAGTCAGTAGTAGCAGTGAGCACACGGTCTCGGTCTTGTGACCGGACACTAGCGTGAAAAGTGATCAGACGCTCAGGTCCTGTGTCCGGTCAGTGCTGACGTACGCTGACGTGGTGGCGTGAGGAACAACAGTGACGCGTGGCAGTCGGAGATTGACTAGACTCAGGTGCTACATCCGGTCGTACAGGAGCGAACGCATCCAATCACAAAATAGAGGCTCGGAGAGCTCTCTGGAAACGACCGAACTCTGACTTGTCTACGTCCGGTCGTGATCAAACTAACGCGTCTGGTCGTGCATGGAACCTCTCTGGAAACGACCAGACTCGGTAGAGGTGCATCCGGTCTTGGCACTATGCTGCGTCCGGTCATCACTTGACCGTTGGCGCGCGGCAGTCGACCGTTGAGATTGAGCGACTGTGGTTGAACGGGGCGACGCGTGGCATGCATCCGTTGATCGGACGCTGACAAGGTGCGTCCGGTCGATCTGACTAGAGCGTCTGGTCACCCCGAGCTGTGTCCAGTGAAGGGGTACAACGGCTCTATTTTCGTGGAGGCTATAAATAGAAGGGTTCTCGGCCTTGGGCTGTAGTAGAGCACCTAGGGGGACTTTGTGTCCATGTTTGGTAGTGCTTGGGAGCCCTCCATCTCACATATGCTTGATAGTGATCATTCGATTGTGTGAGAGAGCGATTCTAGTGCGATTGCATCGTGAGGTTGCATCAAGTGGCACTAGGTGGTCCTCTTGCAAACCGGTGGTGCTTGTTACTCTTGAAGGTTGCCACCTCCTAGACGGCTTGGTGGTGGTGTCCGTCGAAGCCCGCAAGAAGCTTGTGCGGTGCTCCGGAGAAGAGCTTTGTGAGGGGCATTGTGCTCGCCCCACGGGAGCCACGAAGAGCAACTCTAGTAAAGCAAGACGCAAAGGGCGACAAGTGGTCCGACGGGGTCAAATGCTAGAGCTTGTGGTAAGCACTCCACGTGGGAGAGTGTGACTTGTGGGTCACCACTAGTAAGAGGACCGGCGGCAACCTTGGAGCTTGTCTCAATGGGAACTAGCGTGTTGACAAGCACGTGAACCTCAGAAAAAATCATCGTGTCATCCTTATATTCTTGTTGGTTTGCATCCTCGCTACACAAGCTTATAATTACTTTCATATACATTGTGCTTGTGTAGCTGCTTTTGTAATTAGTTAGCTTGTGTAGCTTGCTAGTTACCTTCTATCTTGTGTAGCATAGAAGTAGCTCTCTTGCGTGGCTAATTTGGTTTGTGTAACCTTGTTAGTCACATTGCTTAGTTTGTGTTGCTAAGTATTTGTACTTTCTAATTTGGCATTGGTTGCCTTGTTATTGAGCATTACTAGTGAGCTTATGTGGCTTTGTGCTTTTGCTTACTAGCATGAGTAGGAGCTCCCTCATTGCTTGAAGTGCTAGTGGCATAGGTTTGTGTGACCTTACTTTTAGAATTGGTTAAGTGAGCTCTAGCTAGCTCGGCACCTTTGTTGCTTAATTAAGATCTTTGCAAGGTGCTAGAGAACATATATGAGGGGTGTAGTCTTGGCAAGACCGATTAATTTAATTTCACATTTGTTTCGGTTAGCCGGCGTGATTAAGTTTAGAAACGACTATTCACCCTCCTCTAGTCATCATCTCGACCCTACACTCCTGCGGCTAGAGACCACGAGGGCATCGCGGCGTGCCATACTTCGCACCTGCCTTGAGGCTCCTCGTGTCCTGGTGCCCCTAGAAAAACAAACTCTCGGCAGCTAAGTCTATGGTGCTCTTTGCTCCGCCATTTCCCAACTCCGATCTGCCCATCAAGACGGTTATCAAGTTTTTCAACACGCTTGATATGTCGCAAATGTATGTTTCAAGTGTTTCACATGTTTCAGAGGTATGCTGCAAGTGTTTTATATGGATGTTGCAAAAATAGATTGAGTTGTTGCATATGTTACAATGGCTATAAATGTATGTTGCAAACGTGTGTTCCAAATGTTTATCTGTTTTTTAGGCGTAAGTTGCAAGCGTGTTTATCTAGATGTTGATATGTTTCACACATATGTTGTAAGTGTTTCATGGATGTTGCATATGCTTTCAATGACTTTCAAGTGTTTTTCAAGTGTTTTGCAAGTGTTTCAGATATATATTGCAAGTGTTTCATCTGTTTCGGACATATATTGCAAGTGTTTCATCTGGATGTTGCAAAAGTAGATCGTGTTACACATGTTGCAATGCACGTGAGAAGCGGAGGTAGGGCGAGTGGTCCCCATGCACGTGAGAGGTGTGGCGAGCAAGGATGCATGAGGCAAAGCATGCGGAAAATAGAACGTAGTGGACGTCCCATAGCAGCACTACCAAATGGTTTTCATTCTTCTTTGGGACTGTACGGGTTAGACTGGTTCAAGGCCCAACTAAAGTTTTTTTTTTGTGTGACTCAAGGCCCAACTATAGTTAGTCCCTCGCGACGAGTCTGCGTGCTTTAACGGCCCATGTATGAACCCAGCATCTTATCCGCAGGCGCTGGAGTGTAAACATCAGACCTTTATCTAAAAAAATGTGATTATGTCAGATTTTGTGTAAACTAAAACTACAGAACGAACCAGGCTGTTCACATCGTGATTCTAAAAAATCATGATTCTAAATTAACCTGTTCAAGCTTCGGATCAGACTGGAAAAAAACTGTTTTTTTTTCATCGGGCCCTTTAACATTGAGCCAATGCACAATAATAAGTTTGCCAATCTAAATAGCCTAAATTGGTCATACTCACATACATCGTCTGATATAGAAACCAGGACTTTTCATCTCTCTGATGAAATATATAAAAAAGATGTGATTATTAAGAGGAAATCTGCTACGATATTGTCATTGGTTCCATTATTGCATTTGCTTCTAAATGCCTAATCGTTCGCTCCATAGATTTAAGAGGGAAATTTACGACATGTCAAGTTTGCATCTAATGATATTAAACCATTTCAATTTACATGAAGTTTAGGAAAAACCAATCAATTTGAAGTTAGACTGATTGGCTTAGTGTATATTAACGGAGGAGCACATATGTTAATATTTTGAACTAATACTTATTCCTTCTCAACGTATTTTGAATATGAAAACGTTATACAAAATAGATTTTGATTCTTAATTTCTCTTCCAACGCGTTGTCATCTGCCAAAGAACCAGTTGCATCATAGAAACACTTCAAGTACACATCTATTGATACAAGTTTCATATTCTAAAGTCACATTTATACTATAATTTAATTAGTTGTTTTGCCAAAGTTTGTAGCGTTTTTTTTATTGTCCTTTATTTATATAAAATGCGCTTACCATTCCGGAATGGGTGAGTGAATATTATTTCCGGGCGTGATGGTAGAGTCGCAAACAATGGTATAACAATCCAATGTTTTGGTGAACGAAGTAATGTCTAGATCATCAGAAACGTATACGTCGAACAACGTGATTCACACGAAGAAACTGGCGTCGTCGGCCATCGTGTTTTGCGACCTGCGGAGAATGACCGCACGACAAAATTCGCAGGAAATGGTAGCCAAAGTGTGATTTGCTGCTGCAGGCATATAAGCCAAAACGCAAATAATATAATGGGCAATGGCTGGCCGGTCAAGCTCGTGCCACCGTCACTGCTTGTGCTAATTGCTAAACAACAAGTCCCGCTTCACCGTATAATCGCGAAAGACGAACCCGAGCCGCGTTCCCGTCCAGGTACACCACTGCATTGGAAGAGCCCACGGAGGCCACTTCACCTCCAACTCAGCCATACCCACCTCCACCGGTTACGAGCTCTCCGTAGCCTTCCTCACCACAGAAGAGTAAAACAGTAATTTCAGAGCTGGTACCGGGCGCGTGCTATTTTAAGTACTGGCTCCCGGACGAGCGCCACCCAGTACCCACACTCCCGACAACACCCGCGAAAATGACGCCGCCGGCGAGCACAGGCCAGCACGCCGGCGCGATAGACGACGAGCCGCTGCTGCCGGAGTTCTCGGCGGGCGGCCACGGCGGCGGCGGGGGGTCGGTCTCCGGCGCCGTGTTCAACGTGTCGACGAGCATCGTCGGCGCGGGGATCATGTCGATCCCGGCGGCAATGCGCGTGCTCGGCGTGGTCCCGGCGCTGTTCCTCATCGCCGCCGTCGCCGCGCTCGCCGACGTCTCCGTGGAGTTCATGCTTCGGTACACGGGGTGGGCGGCCGGCGGCGGCAAGAAGGCCAAGGCCACGTACGCGGGGATCATGGGCGACGCCTTCGGCCGCGCTGGCGCCGCCGTGCTCAACGTCTTCATCGCCTTCACCACCGCGGGCACGCTCGTCGTCTACCTCATCATCATCGGTGAGATATACTAGCTTGCTTGCAGCTTCAGCGAGCCGCGCTCGCGGGCGCTGGAGTCTATCCTAGCTTCATCGAGAATTCAGGTCGAATCGATTGTGATAATTAATGTCTGTACGTCGTGCGCGGGGCGCAGGGGACGTGATGTCTGGGAGCGTCGGCGGAGGCGACGAGCACGCCGGGGTGCTGCAGGAGCTGTTCGGCCCGCAGTGGTGGACGGGGAGACAGTTTGTGCTGCTCGTCACCGCCGTCTTCGTTCTGCTGCCGCTCGTGCTCCGCCGCCGTGTCGGTAAGTTCACATTTCAGTTGTGCCGTGTATTGGTTGATTTTTTTTTGAAAAAAAAATCTCAGAGTAATAGTTTCGTTGATATTACTCGCTAAGAAAATCAGTTCAGTTGAGATTGTATGGCAGCAATTGGGGAACTGGCCAATCTGATTTAATATAACAATTGACCACGGGCGATATGATAAAGTGATAGTACAACGCATGTGGACTTGGATCTGACCCTAAGTTTTAAATTAAATAGACAGTTTGGTGGGCGGGCCATGGTGATGAAGATATGATGGTATCACTTGAACTGCTAGTGTATGAGTTCCGACATGCAGGCTGTGGCCTGTGGCCACAATATTATTCTTGTTTATTTTGATATTTTCTTGGGAGGATGGGTTTAACGTTTAGGTAGTTGGCATGGTTGGCTAGCTGGAGCGCGAGCGTGTATCTTGCATGTTTCAACCTGTGGCGTGTGGCTTGCAACACGGTTCTTGCTGCAACGAAATTCATCAGTGGATGAAACAGAAAACAACACACACAAGCATTACCCCTCTAAACAAAAACCCCAACAGCAAACAAACATAATATCCCCAAAAGAGGCGATAATCTTACCTGACGCGCGCACCGCTACAGATCCGAGCGCACACTTTTTCTTCTTCCTTCTTCCTCGGGTCTTCTTCTTCCTCAGGAGCCCTAGCCGGCCAGCCTTGCCCCCGCACGCCTCGGCCGCCACCCAGGCCGCCGGCGACCTCACCGTCCACCTACCACCCAGAAATATTTCGAACGAATAATCCTTAAGTCTCAAATTCCCATTAATCCCTAAAAATCCAATAGTTCGGTGGGGGGGCAACTCCTCCGCCCCCTTTGGATCCGCCCGCCGCCCACCACCACCCATCCGAATTATCTCCCTCCTAATCCCAATCCAATAGTTCGTCGACAACTCCTCGCCCCTTGCCCGGCACCACCCTCCTTCTATCTCTCCTCCGCCTGGTTTGGATGCCGTCGCCAAAACCTCAAAACCACCAACCGCCGCCACGCCCCGGGCCCCTCCTTCTAAGGCGCCCGACACTGGATGGTCGCAAAACCTAAAACCCTAACCGCCGCCACCGCCGCCTTGTCCACCGCCCCGGCCGCGACGACCTCGCCGCTGGCCATTCTGCCCGCCCCCGCCCCCTTCCTCAGTTTCTGCCACAGGGTCGTCGTATTCGTCGCTTCAATTAGCGGCGCACGCGTGCCCGATAGTGATTAGGCAAAACAGGCGCCAAACAGGAAATAAAAAGAGAAGACACTACACAACTTTCACTGATCTTCTGACTGCGCCAAGTGCCATGAAACTCTCTCCATCTCCCTTCGCGCCCAGCTTTTTTCCTTCTCCTTGAGCAGAATGCTCCATTTCTGTGGCACTACTATAGTAGAGGTCTAATATTAGCAAATGGCACTAGGCATCTCATGGTCATGGGACAGGAAAGTTCATCAAATGTTACATAAATTCAGCACAAGCATATCCGGCGATTTAGAAATGAGGTAGTCGCCATCATGAGCATTTGTTGGCACGATCAGTTTTGCATGCCAGAAGGTCAAAACTCAATAATGAGTGCCACTAGTATTGATCCAGCTATCGTTTCCCCTCTCCAACTAACTGCCCAGTACAGTGCAAAATCATCTTATGGCTCGGCTTGAAGGTTGCTGAGATTGATGTTTATTGGCATTCGAAGTTCCAAATATGACCAACCTTCTTTCAGGAGGGAAGTTCTGCTTGTTCTGTGCTAAAGCCTAAACTCTAGGAGTCTTGGTCACGTGAGTCACGCTGAGGCAAAAGAATTGAAGCAAAATGCAACAAGCCAAAATCTGGGACATAATCACATATAATCATACTCATATCGCTTGCACTTGCACGACACTACCGCAGCAGGCTATTATTGTACATCATTTTCGTGGATGACACCCATTCAAAATTCTTACAAAATACACGGGCCAGTGGGCCACTTGACATGACCAGCTAACGACAACCCCGGCCCCACTTGCCAGCGGGTTGTGTGGGCACCGGGCAGAGGGCATCAGCACGACTGCACGAGGCACCGACGACGGCAGGGCATCTGCCTCATGTGTGTGACTCGGCTCTTATCCCAACGCCAGCCCCACCCATCGTTTTCTCGCCACTTCGCCACGTTTATACGCTCTCGACTCGCCGAATCCCAGACATACGCGCGCGCACCAAACAGTCCCAGCGGCGCTCCACTCCTCTTCTATCCCACTGAAACCATGGTGTCCAAGAACCTGCCGTTCTCAGCTACGCCCAGCGCCGGCAGGGACACCGCGACGCCGGAGGGGGCAGCGCTGCTGCTGCCGGAGCACACCGGGGACGACGCCCCTGTCGTGCGGGGGCGGCTCCGCTTCGGTGCTGGGCGTGGTGTTCAACGTGTCGACGAGCGTGGTGGGCGCAGGGATCATGTCGATCCCGGCGGCCAAGCGCGTGCTGGGCGTGGCGCCGGCGGTGGCGCTGATCGCCGGCGTCGCGGTCGTGACCAACACCGCCGTCGACTTCATGCTCCGGTACACCCGCGGCGCGCCGTCGTACGCGGCGCTGATGGACGACACGTTCGGCCACACTGGTGCCGAGCTGCTCAACGTGTTCGTCGCCTTCAACGGCTTCTGAATGCTCACCGTCTACATCATCATCATCGGTAACGCCACGTGTAGCAGAACCGACCAATTTATAAGAGCACAAGTACAATGGCAGTTCCTAAACGGTCGCACTATCATACTTGAGCCCATATAAACCTGATAGTCCGTCGAGTACCACGACGGATCTCGATTAACCATCAACATACAACCAAGATCATACATGATTCAACATATATGTTACATGTTACATAAGGTTCACAAATACAGTTCATTCATCAGAGTACGAATTAAGGTTATTACAAACCAAGTTCAGAAAATAGTAGCGGAAGCAAATTTAAAGTTTAAAACTAACATCTGCCATCATAGTTCAAATACATAGTGCCAGTTCATGATCATACTCCCATAAAAGCATATAAGAAGGATTATTAAGAGATGCCTGTCTAGGGCTCACTCTTCATCCACGGCGGGACAGAAGCAATTCTTACAATAGCCGTGATAAACTGTACCATCTGCAGCAATAGGAATAAAACCCTGAGTACAAAAAGGTACTCAGCTAGACTTACCCATCATAAACAAAAACAAAGTGACTAAGAATTTTGCAAGGCTTTATAAGTGGAGGTAACTTGACAACATTTTATATAAAAAACGACTAACTCAGTTGTACGATTATAATTTCGTCATCAAGTTAATTACAGCTATTCATCTCTAGATTAGCAACTAACCTGTGCTAAATATATAGTATATCATTGAGTAGCATACAATAGTAACCATAGCCAGTGTAGTAATTTCATGTTCATCCGAACCATCATGTTTCATATCACAGTTACTACGATGTTGGAGCTAACCAAGTTTCTCACTGTCTGGGAGAGACAGCGATTCGAATTGATTTCAATCAGTTGAGAATTTATTCCTAACACAAACTCAGGCAGACCAGATCAACGGTCACCATAGGTCACCTTTGGTACAACTCAGGTACATATTTCGCGGGTTCGTCCAGTGCCGCACAATTAGGGACAACCGGCTGTCAGGACGATCAGGACTACCCTGCCCTTGGGCTCATGCCTGGCTCTCCGCACATCCTTACAACCATCCAGAGTACGCACTCTAATAGAACGAGGCCCGTCCTAAGTTGAGCTACTTGGCTTCGCGGTCGGAACGAGTCACCCGGCCAGCTAAGTGATAGGCATGCGTTCAATCTTGTCAAAAGGGCCAGCAACGGTACGGTCATTAATCAGCACAGACGGAATCACATGGGTCAACCTACAAAAAGACTCCGTCCAGCCTCTATTTCTATTACCTCATGGTTCTTTTCCACGATAGCAAATATAGCCAACCGTGCTTCGGTATCCACCTATATCTCGCAGGTGACAGAAAATCATCCGGCTTCTATCGGTCTAAGCATGACTAAGCATATATTCGATCCTAGACCTACACAGGGTTAAAGGTATATGTATCTAGACAAGGTAGTTCCATGAATCAAGTGTTTTCAATCAACTCTTATAACATAATACATCAATATAAAGGACTCAAGTAATATTTTATAAAATATGAGAGACTTAGAATGCTTCAGGGCTTGCCTTTGAGGAAAGAGGTTGGCCGGTGATCTGGGCACTCAGGGAGATCTTTGAGAGTTTGCCCCTCTTCTCCTGGAGCTACGGCCTGAGGCATCTCCTGCTGATCCTCCTCTTCTTCTTCGTTGAACTCCAACATAGTTATTTCTTCGGACGATCCTATATGCATGAGCATGAATTAAGATATCATGAATACATATATGATGATATGTATAATATGATATGATGTAATGAATGCATCCTTATAAGTGTTTTTAACAGCATGGTATTAAAGTAATAACAAGTGCATCTTATTTTACAGAGTACGTGCGTATCTCTTTTCTAATAACTAAACAAACACTTATGTAAATCATTTTCTAGACTACAAGACATCAGCCACTTGTTTTGATCATAACTGGTGTTATACATATCAAAATAATATAGTTGTGGATATTCTGAAAAGCTTATGAAATTTCATACAACTTTCTTTTAATTATCTTAATGTGATTCAGCAGTTATCTTGGTCAAACAAATCAATCCTTCAGATCTGTACAGAGAGCAAGCATTTCTAACAGCAGACTTTTAACAGCCATAATTCTTAAACCATAAGGTCTATGACTATAAAAATTTAACATAAGGTAGATCAGTAAGTTATGTACAACTTTATTATTAACATGTTCTATAGAAAAGAACATCATCATCATGAAATTATCAACTCAACCGAAACTATATATGTAGCCATCTAGTTGAATTATATAGCAATAATTAACTAGTTGCATACAACTAATTACCTTTAAGCCTTACTAATAACATCAGCAAATCATATGTATCACAAGCACCATAGAAAACATCATGGTTAAACATAACTAACTTATTTATATCTATTTATTATTTTCCTTAAATAATAGGGTGATTTAAAGGATAAATAATTCTAGTGCTTAATAAATTCTGATAACATTACAGTAGTCTACAGATGACCTCAATAGTCTACTGTACAAATTTCATACTATTTGGATAAGTACAACTACTTCTACAAAAATAACAAGTTATGTAGGCTTATTTTAGCAAAAATAGTTTAGCATAGTGAAAAGTATCAAGTAACAGATTTAATATTTTCTTACATTCCTTCAAGCAAAAAAATACTGTGTAAAAATTTGCATGATCATATGTTATATATTTTTACCCTAATTAATTTCACTAGAAACCAGCAATTAATTAGGATTAAATATGAAGACCATATTCAAAGTATGACCACTGCAAGTTTAGTATTTTTCCTAGCTAGAGTATGTCAACACAAGACCGGCAAAATTAGAATCACAATTTTATCACCTTTCTAGCTCAAGTTATGCATTTAACAAGATAGAAACCATTTAAAAAGCATTTATCTGGGTACATTTTATTCTCGTAGAAAAATACTAGAAACAGTTCATCTCATATTTTTATCAAATACTACACCTCAAGATGAAACTAACAAAATTTGGTTCACCAAAATTGGACACTCCTAGCTGGAGATATGAATTTTTGAAACATGCATTCATATCTGTGAAATAAATCAGAAAATCAAATCGTATCCGACTGACAGCTGGGGCCCGCGGTCAACGGGGACCCACCCGTCAGACACATAGAAGTAGAGCACGGTGTTTGACCGGCGAGAGTTCGCCGGCGGTGAGGTTTCCGATGGTAGCATCTACACCGCTGCACTCTACACGTCGAGCCACATCGGTAGGTGTGCTTGGTTTGCCCGGAAGCTCACCAGAAGTAGCTCACCGGCGGTAATGGCGGATGGCGGAGGTCGCGCGGCGGTATGTCAGCGTGCTTCGGCCACCATACGCTCTGGTGAGGTGCTCTACAGCTTCGCGGTAACCTATCGGAGTTAACCTAGGTGGTTAGGGTTCCGGTGATGTGACGGCGAGTTTGGTCCCCGTGCGTGGCCATGCGGCGACGCACGAAGCACGGCGGTGCTCATGCTGTTTTGGCTAAACGGCGGCGAAAGGTGGGTCTCCATCATGCCACTAGCGAGGTCTAGGGTTACTCGACCTAAGGCGCGCGAGGACGGATGGATATGGTGGACTAGAACGACGATGACGAGCTTCAGTGCCACGACGGCAATGGCGACCGCGCGCAGAGCGGCGATCCATTCCGGCACCGACACGCGGTGGCGTCATCCCCAGATTTGTCCTAAGCTACAAGACTCTAACGGGTGCTGGACCAACAGAGAGGGAGGCATGCGGGGCAGTGGAATGGCCGGGCCACGGCGAGCCACGAGCGCGGCGGCGCTCCAGTGATGGCGCGATGGCGGCGAAGCGAAATGCGCCCTTACCCTGGCTCAGCAAGAGGGGCTATTGGGTCAGGGTGGAAGAGATGATGATGGCAGAGCTGCAGACGAGCTGGATTGGGCGGTGGTGCAGCAACGGCGGCAACTGGGCACGATGGAGCGACGACGATAGCGCGGCAGCATGGTGCATCGCTTTGCTCAGGCGTGGGCAAGAGAGAGAGCGGTGCGAGCGTGAAATGAAGCAAGCAGCAGAGGTGCGCGACCTATTCCTCCGTGCTGGCCTGACCAACCAGGCCGACACCATCGTACGGCCGCCATGTGGCGCGCCTGGCCTGTCCCCGGTCGGCCACTGACGACGCGGCGTCCACGGCCATCAGGCCCTGATGACATGACTGACAGAGCGACTTTGATCCCCTATATCTCCCAAACCAGTTAGAGTTAGCAAAAATTCCCTGAATAGAAATTATAGAGCTACATGAGATCTTCAACTTTGATTTAAGAACCATCATCTAATTCTCACTAATTAACAAACTACATTGCTCTAAAGTGAGGTACTTTGAAACTGAAAATCATTTCAACGCTTAGAAAATTTTGCAAGTCTCAAAACAACATTTTGTTGATACTTGTGAGCTATTTTTTGAGCATGCTATGCACTGAATTAAACCTTGATCCAAAAATAAAAGTTGTTACTCTAGTCAAGTACTACAACTTTGCTTAAGGGTGCACTGACATGCAAACACTCTATGCTATAGTTCAACTTAGGTCAAACATACAACTTGAAAATGAAAGCCTACACTATAACCATGACTTAGAGGCCAACTGGGTCCAAGTCATGAATACAAAAGTTGTTCCATATGTCATTCTAAACATGTTTAAGGTACTCCTAAGGTCCCACAAACATTTTATACATGGGTCACATGTAAATCCTAGCATATGCAAAGCATTTAGTAACAAACACATGTGATATAAGCAATCCGAGAGATAAAATTGAGATGCTCATGCTCATGAATGATCAATGATGCTTGTACTCATGGAATGCCAATGTGAAAGGTCCTAATGGCTAGAGGAGGGTGAATAGCCTAATAAGATTTCTACAACAATACTTAACAAAAATGTTAGACAATTATGAGGTGAAGCAAGAGTTACGCTAGCCTACTCAAAATGCAAGCCACCTACCACAATTCTAATTTATATAGTATGTATCCA